TCTAACGGTGTGCACAACTCTTGGTCTATTATTAACTGACCTGAAGATTGTCACTCTGCCAATGATAGCCCTTGCCTTTGCGATACGGTCCTCAATTCTTTTTCTCTAGGCTAGGATAGCACTACTTTGTCCAGTAGCGCGTCCAGCCGTGAATAGCTTGGCGCCAATGATACGGCAGTCTGCTAGTGCGGCGTCAAAAAGAATCGACTCCGTCTCGCAAAGGTCCCAGCTAGCTTCCAAATAGATCACCAGCATCGGGTTTAGAGCCTTCACGACAGCACGATTCTGTTTATTTATTGTATGCGCGGAAGTCGTGTTCGATTTCGAGAGGCATTCTGCGCGTTTTCGTAATCGATTCTTCCAATGTGCTCCTCATTTGTTCTAGTTCATGAGCGACTATTCCATCATCGTCTGAATTAGCCAAAAGTCGAAGATTCACGACAGCATGGCGCCAGACACCATGTCATGGTTGGGCCATATGCACAAACGAACTTTTGCAACCTCAATTTTGCCAAGGCACGGCGCTCACACCTTTTGGCAAGATGCTGACTGACTGCGCCGACGTTGCAGTTTTGTCACTTAACTCTTACGTCGGCGGGTGATCGTATCGCCACTTTGCTACGCCTTTTTATTATAAAATATATAAAAGAAAATGATAAATATACTAAAATATAAATATATTTAATAAATTAACATTATAAATAAAGCCCCAACCAGATGGGAGCCATCGGCAGGGAAGACCAAACTGCCGAGCGTTAGGGGGAAATTAAAAGAAACCAGCGGATAATGCGGGCGGTATCGAAGAGCACCGCCTTCTGCATTTGAGCCCGGAGCGATCCGTCTTGGAGAGACGACTACGGTAATAATTTCGGTCGACAGACCACCCCACATTTTGGTCTCCTCATGACTCAGGTTCCCGTCATACGGAATGATGATTTCGACCAAAAATATCCTTGACTGTGCCCGGTCCATTAGCATAATATCAGGATTATTCGCAAGAATAGTCCTATCCTTGGCCGTAGCCTGGTTCCAGTAATGCTTGGCACGGTCACGGAAAGTACTAATAATACAGTTTCCGATCCACGAGAACGCACTTCAGAGCGAGCTCCTGGTGAAAAATCCTGGCTAGTAGGTTTTGTCTGTGCAAGTACTCAGAGTTAGAAAGGCAAGCGGGTAGGTAAATTTATGTTACATTTACTATATAGATATAAGCACATAAGAACATCTATGGCGCCGGTAACAAGTTTGTATAAGAAAATGCAATCTAGATATTGCTTGCGACTTTACAGTTTAGACATTTTAAAGTTTCATAGTCTATCATTATAACTAGGCATTTATTTCATCAACACATACTCATGCACAAGATGCCAAATAAATTATTCTGGATGCTATCTGTACGATTTTAGTGGACTGTATATTGAGAATATCATTTGACTGTAGTACACGAGTCTACTGCGCGGCAATGTATTAAATAATACAATTTTAATAAAAGGATTTTCAAAATCTTTAGAATTCTCGAAGATCTTTACGTGGTAGAGCCATGCTGCAGCTATATTATGGTTGTAGCACAAATGGGTCGGCTCGACCAGGGAAGGACCACGCTCTCACAGAAAACCAGCGTAAAATAGCAGCTTAACGCTGCTGTGTTTCGTATGGTGAGTGTAGAGAACCGGAGACCCTTTTTACTGGCAAAGAGGCATTCCATCTTAGTCCTCACGGGTGACAACGCATCTGCATCTTGAGTCTTTATTGAGGATAGATGTAGATGTCTATGGGTCACAGTAACCACTTACCATCAGGTGGACTGTGTGTTCGTTTGTCACCTGATCCTATAAAAAAATTACGATGATAAACCGTAACAATTTGAAACCAATTGATATCATAATATTATGATCAACAATTTTATGCAATTGCAATTTAGTGTCAAGAACTACTCCTTACCCTATCTCTTTTACGACCTATCATGGACCCGCCGTACGCGTTTAAAGTGAATATAAAAACATATCTTAATTTTTAAGTAAATCTTTTTTATAACGCACAAACTCTCCTAGTTGAGATCATTTTGTAATATACTTACATCGCTTGAAAACTTTATTTTCTTAACCATATTTAAATAATCTGCGAAAAGGTGGTTATTATAATACTGAAAGCTAGAACCTATATTATTTATAAATATTTTCAATAGCAATGGGCCCAAACTGTGGTAAAACCGAAACGGCATTGAAAGGGCTGGATGAAAAGTCATTGAGAACAACATTTGACCTGCTTCCATTTAGACAGGACAGGAACCACGACTGTATACTTTTTGGTATCCCAACAATGGCTAGTTTAGCAATAAGTGCATACCCTGTACAATGCTTTGCTGAATTCAGTATACATGACATCTACCGAGTAAAGATGACTTAATTATATCTACTACCCCATACCATCCCGTGGGTATCGTAAGAGGCGACAGAGAGAAACAAATCAAGAGATGGGCAGCAGCGTCTTTCTAATCTATACAAATAAATAAAATTAAAGTGTCTGTTTGTAATGTAAAAATTACAGCTTTTTACGAAATGCATATGAAAGTACTAATATCTAAAATACAATTATTCAAGTTTCTGTATGTCTGTTTGTCTGTCTGTCCCTCTGTCTGTCTATTTGTTTCGGCTAATCTCCGAAACGGCTGGACCGAGTTTGACGGGATTTTAACTGGCAGATATCTGATGTCACAAGGAGTAACTTAGGCTACTTTTATTTTAGAAAAAGAATTAGAGTTCCGCGCAAAAAAATAAAAACCCCAAATAACACGCTGGCGAAGTCGCGGGGAACAGCTAGTAATTACTAAAAATAAAAACTGCAATTGCCAACCCGCTTGACTAGCGTGACAACTATGGCAAATATCCCCCCTATGAGGCAATAGATCGGGGAAACCTATGTTTAGATCTGGACTTAATAGGCTGTAGCGAACATCTACAGGCGTAAGGTCGTCAACGAAACCTGTTATTGTGTGATGGATCTGGATTTTACAAAACTACGCACCAATATGTACATAGTAAGTAGTGGCTTCATACGCTTGTATAGAAATAAACCAGAAAAATAATCTGCATGTTCGAGAAAAATATATAGGTTAAGTTGTCGCGTTAAAGTATACTCCATTTCCTCTTTAGACACAAATTACGGACTTCGCGCTTTAATAATGAAATAAAAATACGGACACAAAAAGTTCTGTTCCGATATTGCTTTAAATTCATCTCGCTCATCGGATTTTAATTAATGGGTCTAAAGTTTTAATAAATTTTTCGCGCGTCCAATTAAAACGTTACTAGATTTTAATGTCAAGTTGATAACAATCGTACATTTAAGACTTTATAAATATCTCCGATATTATGTTGTAATTTGTTTATCAAAAATCTGAATTCACGAATTACATGTAAAGAATTTATGAAATGTATTTAACGCGAGTTCAAAATGTTTCTTGTACCTCCTATGACATCATTCCTAATGAGATATCTTCCCGATTTCTCGTAAACTGCGCAACTTATCTCCCCATCGAGTCAAAATGCAGGAAATATTTGAGGCGTTTCTCATTTTACCACGGAACTTTTGAAGACGAATTTCGGTATTTGGAGCATTGCGATAAGTATCTCGCATCTGCTCAAGCTCCCACAAAAGTATTGATATAGGAGTTTATGGTCTGTGGTTTGTAAAAAGATGACTTCTCTCAAAAACATTTTTTTAAACACGTTTTAAATACATCGTTCATTTATACTAATACTTCTTACCACTAAACAAGTCATCCTACTCTTGGCTCGCTTTTATAGCTAATGCCATAGATAATACACTCCATTCATGTCTTGTATTTTGTTACGTTCTGAATAAATAGAATCATAAAAGATTATCTTTGCTTCTCTATCATATAATTTGTAAATACAACAGAAAACAAAACTACTATACTTTAAAAATTAAATTCCTACAACTCGGTCCTCCTGCTACTCATTCTGATCTTACTGACTAATTAATTCATGGACAATATAAAATCAATTTCTTTTTAATATTTTTTACACTAAAAGTTGAAAACTTTTTTTAAAACTACTTTTTTTCCAGCGACTTTTCCGGCATGATACGACTTAGGTACTTTCAAGAAAATAGCCTACTCTTTTTTAAAAGGCCAACCACGCATCTGCAATACTCCTGGAGTTGCAGTTGTTCAAGGGCAGTGGTAGTCACTTACCCTCAGGCGAGCCGCATGCTCGTTTGCCCCTCTTAGATAAAAAAAAACTTACTAACACTTATTTCATGTACTCCATAGAAAAACGTAATTGTTATATACAAAATTAAAAATTAAAAATTTTGTACAGCCGACTTCAATATAAGTTATTAAGAATAACTTAATAACTACTGGTCTGATCTTAATCAAATTCATATGGGACCACACCAGAAATATCAGCTTTCAAATAAAAAAAGAATCATCGAAATCGGTTAACCCCGTAAAAATTATAAGGTAACACACATAAAAAAACATACGGTCGAATTGAGTACCGTCTTCTTTTTGAAAGTCGGCAGAAAATAAAAATGAAAAACTTTTTTTTCGACTTTGCTTTATACCAAAATCTAAATAGGTATGTCATCTATCCTTAATCGATATAAAAAAATAATCACATCTCTTTTTAAAGACCTATTTAATAACTTTCACATAATTAAACAACATAACCTTTACAATTAAATACAAAAAAAAAATTTACACAAAAATGGACATGTGCCTTTAATCTGCAATAATTTACTTTTTTTTCTTAAAAAAATTATTATAATTTCAACCAAATTAGACAAAGATAAAGCTGAATTAACGCCATCTCTTCATATAATCTACACCTGAATTGGTTTTCATAGGTCCATCCTTACTTCCTCTGTGTTCTCCTCCTCATATCTATCTTTTCTCTTCTGTTTGTCTCGTGTCAGATGTCTGTCCCATTGTATCCTATATTTTTGACTTGAAATTTTATGTTCTATTGTTTCAGATTGAACTATGTGCTATGCGGTCTCTCGACGTGGTGGTGGCACGCGTGTAACGTTGCTCTGCACGCACTGTGCTGCGCGCTCGTCGCACGCACTGGTGCTGTAGTGGCACGTTTACAAAGACCGTTTGCAGCTCTAGCAGCTTTATTATTTGCTGTACATCCCATTCACACTGAAGCGGTAAGATATTCTATGTTACTGGTATCATATCCGGCCTGAGTTTTAACGTAAACATCACGCTGTAATATAGATATTATGGTCATAGCATGAACACTTAGATCGACCAGCAAAGCGGCACGCTTTCATAGAATACTAGCGTAAAATAGCAGCATAATGCTGGTAGCGTATGCTGAGTAACGAGAATAGGTTTTTCTTTTTACTGATAACGTGGGATTTCATCTGAGACTTTTGGGTTACGACGCATTTGCTGCATAGTGCATTAGTTAGTTGCAATAACAACGTTATTTCAACTTACTAATAATAAATTGTAAAAGTATATTTATTAGAATGTTTATCATTCTTTATAGGGTGGGCGGATTTAAATAAAATATGGCATATAATTCGACTATGTTGTCGAAATAGACATAAAATATTTTTATTAGCAACTATTAATAAAACTTAATTTACTAACTAGTGTTGCTGTTAGTAAATTAAATGTAGTATACTATAGTACGTTTTTTATTACGGTTAATTACTCGTACATCCCGTGAGTATTGTAAGAGTACATTGAAAGTGGATATTTTTTTTTTTTTTTTTTTTTATAGGAGAGGGGGCAAACGAGCATGCGGCTCACCTGATGGTAAGTGACTACCGCCGCCCATGAACAACCGCAACACCAGGGGAATTGCAGATGCGTTGCCGGCCTTTTAAAAAGGAGTAGGCTCTTTTCTTGAAGGTCCCTAAGTCGTATCGGTCCGGAAAAATCGCTGATGGTAATCGATTCCACAAGGAAGTCGTGCGAGGAAGAAAACATCTTCTAAATCGCACAGTGGTGGACCGCCAATCATCCAGATGGTGTGGATGGTATCGGGAGTTCTGCCGCGATGTGCGTTCATGAAATTTGGCGGCTGGGATTAATCCGAACAATTCCTCAGAGCACTCCCCATGGTAGATGCGAAAGAAAATGCAAAGAGATGCAACATCTCTTCGCAGTGCCAATGAATCGAGCCGATCGGAAAGGGCTCGGTCGTCGACGATTCGAGCCGCTCTGCGCTGGATGCGGTCAAGTGGAAGGAGCTGGCACTGGGGAGCCCCTGCCCAGAGATGGGAACAGTATTCCATGTGAGGCCGAACCTGCGCCTTGTAAAGTTGCAGGCGGTGTGCCGGCATGAAATACTGTCCCGCTCTGCTGAGCACGCCAAGCTTTTTAGAGGCCAATTTGGCCTTCTCTTCCAAGTGACCACGAAACTGCACGTCACTCGATATGTCGACTCCGAGGATACCGATACTGGCTGAGGCAAGAAGGGGAGTGCCTTGAAACTGAGGAGATACGACAAAGGGGTTCTTTTTAGCGGTAAACGCGCAAACTTGTGTCTTCTGAGGATTAAACTGGACTAGATTTAGTCGCCCCCAATCCGAGACTTTGTCCAGCAAAGACTCGACTTCAGACACAAGTTTGTTCCGGTACTCGGCGACGTTTTCCCGAGAAATATTGGCCCGGCCGGTGTATAGAGCATCACCAGTGCTGTCATCCGCATAGCAATGAATGTTACCAGTTAGCAACATATCATTGATATGCAGAAGAAACAGCGTTGGTGATAGCACACAGCCTTGTGGAACACCAGCGTTAATGGGCTTGTAGTCAGAACATGCACCGTCTACAACGACCTTGATGCTCCGATCTGCAAGGAAGCTGGTGATCCAATTGCACAATTTCTCGGGAAGCCCATAGGAAGGGAGCTTCGAAAGAAGCGCTTTGTGCCAAACCCGATCGAAGGCCTTCGCAATGTCCAAACTAACGGCCAACGCCTCCCCCTTGCCATATAATATATATGGCAAGGGGGAGGCGTTGATATGCCAAAAAAAATTTGTAGATTCTAATACTTAACGGTATGTCATGCTCTTTATGCCAGAAGTAGACACCAAAACGAGTAACGGTGAGCTTCGTTAATAAAGATAAGCGATGACTGGTATTGCGATCTCGTTAATTAATATATAACTTTTTAAGATAACAAGCTAAACTTAATATTTCGAAATATTCACATATTTTTTTTATAGAATAATTGTGACAAATGAGCACACAGTCCACCTGATGGTAAGTGGTTGCTGCGGCCCATAGACATCTACATCTATCCTCTATTACAAATCAAAATGCAGATGCGTTGTCACCCGTGAGGACTAAGATGGAATGCCTCATTTCCAGTAAAAAGGGCCTCCGGCCACCTGCACTCACCAAGCGAAACGCAGAGGTAAACCTCTACTTCACGCTGGTATTCTGTGAGGTCGTGGTACCACCCCGGTTCGAGCCGGCCCATCCGTGCGACAGCAAAAGCCACCACGTGGCTCTACCACTGTTGAAAATAAAACACTACAAAATGCGTCCAAAAATACATGATCATGAAAACAATGAATCAGAATCGTATTTCAAGCTAGTGTGTAAAGTATGACAAAATACCAGCGTGAAATCGTAGAGTAATGATGCTGTGTTTCGTTTGGTGAGTATAGGGAATCGAAGACCCTTTTAACTAGAAACAAAGCAGCCGATTTTAAGCCTCAGGGGTGACAATGCGTCTGCATTTTGATTTTTAATCGAGGATAGATGAAGAACCCTATGGAGCACAGTATTCCTTTACCATAAGCTGGACTGTGTGCTCGTTTGTCACCATTATTCTATATAAATAAGACATATGTTGGCTTATGATTTTATTCTGTAGAACGTACACAATTAATTGGCTACATACCTACGTAATACTGAGAGCATAGTAATTTAAACTCAAACGCTAACTTCCAACGCACCGAACAATAATAAAGATGAGAGAGGGGAATATCAAGGCAACCGCGAATAATTTGTAACGAGGGATCTAATTAGAATTCCATTTACAGACGTATAGTATTACAAGAGCTTAGTATAATTACACAAGTATAGTGTACTGCTTATATTTGATAGACTAGTTGCTAACTGCATCGTAAACGCGATTACTGATCAATATGTCCTGGGTTAGAATACCATGCCGGGCCAAAATCAGTTATTGAGTTTTTCTGTCAAAAAATCCTCAGTAGCAGCGCTGAGTGAGGAAGTTGACGGAGTTTCGCTCACGTGCCTAGGAGAGGACGTAAAGTCATTGGTCCTGCGCCTGATCTCTCTCTGATCTGTCGGATTTTCGTCCCATTGGACTATGAGAGTAGGCAAATAAAGAGTGCAGCTGTACTTCCGTACACACTCATGCACTATAATCAAGTCCTGCGCAGATGGCTAGTCTCCGTTGAGACTGGCTGCGGTGACCGCAATTTGGTCTGTAGGATATTTTTTTTAGAGGTGACAGGCGCAGAGATGAAAAGCACAGTTTTAAAGCAATAATGTCTTTATGGCGGCGCTGTCGTCGCGCCACAAGCGAAACACACGAAACCTAAATCGCGCTAACAAAGTTCCGAAGTTAAAGCAGTATATATAGAATAGCTCCGAACTACCACTCGGAGCGTTGGACGCTCCTCGGGCAGAACACCTTGCCCGGCGGGATATCTCTCCTTTTCCTTCTACCCGTTAGAGTGGTGACCGCCCTACGTGATATGAACACGCAACCAACAACCTTCGGAAACTACAACTACAAATCTTCGTCATCATCCTCAAGTACCCCATTCATTCGCTCCCGAGCAGATATTGTCTGCAGTCTTCACATTCTGCAAGCCACCTAGCTTTACTAAGGTTCATCGCAGCACTGGAATAATAATGCTTCCTGTTCCTTCAAGCTACTCTCTGCGCTACAGTGTCCGGCACTACTCTGAACCTTACTGCTCGCCTCTGCTTCACGGCACTCTCGCAGATTACTTGCCTTCTTCTCGACTCACCGCAGACTACAAGGCAATCCCTATCACTTGCTCCGGCTCATCGTTCTCACCGGCATCGCTTGCAAGTGCGTAGTACGGCATGCATTATACACCGTCATATCGTTCGTACCGGCGTCACTTGCCCTTACGCACACAGCACGAATTCCCCACCGGCATTAAGGACGCACCGGCAATCGGACTGCACAATCGACCTCCAGTATGAGTAGGGGGGTGATGTGGCGGCGCTATCGTCGCGCCACAAGCGAAACATATCGAAGCCTAAATCGCGCTAACAAAGTTCCGAAGTTGAAGCAGTATAATATATAGAATAGCTCCGAACTACCACTTGGAGCGTTGGCCGACACCTTGCCCGGCGGGAGATCTCCCCTTTTCTTTCCACCCGTTACGTCTTCCTGAATGAGAGAAATGAAACCTTATGGTGATTGGCTATTGGAACCCATGGACACCTACAGGTAACTTTAAGCAAAGAAGGCTATGCGAGACTGCGATGCGTCGTTACCTCTGAGGACTGAGATGGATTGCCTCTCCGCTTGTAATACTGGCTCTCTTCCCTCTAGACCAGAACAGAGTAGTGCTATTTCCCTCTTACGATACCCTCGAGGTGATACAGCGTAGGTGATTTGCTTGCGCCGCCACTACACGGCAAATGGTGTAGAGTATAAAATTAAAATTAGGCTCAAAAGTAATTAAAATTCAAACCAAGAAAATTTATAATTTACTGGGTTCTTAAATAACCTAAAAGTAAAATTATATGCGAGTAACTCGCGGGCACAGCCACTTAAATTAATATAATTGAAAAAGGAAACTTTCAATGTCATAGCAAACTGTCAAGGAAAATACGTCGGAATATAACGTTCGTAGAAAAATATGGATAGAAAATTGTATCGCCTACACGGCTCTACACTTAGCCACGACACAGAAAGTATCGGTTAAAGTTCTTGACTTATATTTCTTGAAAAAGTATCGTTCCATTCTCATTTATTATATTCATTTATCTATCGATGTAAATGAAATTGAAGTGTCTGTCTGTAAAACCGAAATTACTGTCTTTCATCGTGCTCAGAGGGTTGTTTGCATAGAAATGAAATCGTGTAGTCAGCGCTCCATCCTCCTCATGCTCTAAACCAAAGTCCCTAAACCTTTCAGCTTGAGTTACAAAACCGTTTTCAGTGCCT